GGTTTTCCTAATTCGATTAGAGTTGAAGCTGAAGGGAGGAAGGGTGGTATCTGGGTGTTTTGGGATGCCGGAAGACACACTACGCAGCTCATCTCAGCCTGCAACCAGCATATTTCCTTGCAGGTTTCTCAGAGCTCCGCGCCCCCTTGGATCCTGACCGCCGTGTATGCGTCGCCTCGGTACAGCCAGCAGCGAAGTCTTTGGGATTGCCTTATTGGTCAGAGCAAGCAGATCGACATCCCGTGGCTGCTGACTGGGGACTTCAACGCGATTCGGTCGCTAGAAGAGAAAGCTGGTCCCCCCACGAATTCCACAGCCCGTCGTTGCCACATTTTCAATGAGAGAATCAATATGGCAGAACTGGTTGACCTTGGCTCCTCCGGGCCCCGTTTCACGTGGACTCGAGGAGATCAGCCCCAAACCTACAGAGCAAGTCGACTCGACAGGAGCTTGTGCAACCTGCAATGGAACTCGAGCTTCCCCAACACTTCAGTCACGCATCTACCTCGCTTCCACTCCGATCATAACCCGATCATGACCTCTGTCACTATTCAGGGACGTCCCCCGTCTGCCCCTAGACCTTTTAAATTTGAGGCTGCTTGGTTTACTCATGACAACTTTACTGATTTCATTTCTGATTCCTGGAACTCTGACACCCTTTTTCACACTGCCCTGTCTCAGCTTGCAGGCAAACTTCAGGAGTGGAACACCAGCACCTTTGGCAATGTGCTTCAGAAGAAGAAGAGGCTGCTTGCACGACTTAAAGGAGTCGAATCTAGACTGGCGGTCGGATTCTCTCCTGGTCTCGCCAAGCTTCATTCCAAGTTGGAAGCTGAGCTTGATACTGTTCCGGCTCAGGAGGAGCTGTTGTGGTTCCAGCGAGCAAGGGAAAATTGGGTGAAGTATGGGGAAAGGAACACGGCCTACTTTCATCAGCTGGTCAACATCAGGAGGGGGAGGAATAAGATTAATTCCCTTCAGGACGCGACCGGGAATTGGGTGAATGATCAAAATGAACTTGCTGCTATGGTTTTCAATTTTTTCACTCACCTTTATAAGCAGGATGATACTCCCTATGAGGACAGGCTTCCGAAGGGCTCCTTTCCGCGGATCTCTCAACCGGAGTTGATGGCTCTGCTTCGGCCCTTTACCATAACGGACATCCACATGGCCATTTTTGACATGAAACCCTTTCAGGCACCCGGTCCGGATGGTTTTCAAGCTGCTTTCTTCCAACAAATGTGGAGATTTGTTGGGAGGAGCCTCTCGAAGATGGCAATTGACTTCTTTTCCACAGGGGAGCTGCCAGACACGGTGTCTGAGTCTACCATGGTGCTTATTCCGAAGGTGGAGAACCCTGAGCGGGTGAACCAGTTGAGGCCCATTTCTCTTAACAATGTGAGCCTAAAAGCTATCACTAAAGCCATGACGAGCAGACTGAAACCCCTCATGAGGAAACTGGTCTCTCCCAGGCAGAGTAGCTTCATTCCGGGTAGACAGACAACGGACAACATCATTGTGGTGCAAGAGGTTCTGCATTCTCTCAGGCGAAGGAAGGGGAAGAAGGGGGGCCTTATTGTGAAGATCGACCTGGAGAAAGCGTATGATAGGCTCCGTTGGGACTTTCTGCGGGACACTCTTAAGGAAGTTGGTCTCCCTAGTTCCTGGATCAGCTGTATCATGCATTGTGTGGAGCAAAATCGGATGAAGATCCTTTGGAATGGAGAGCTCTCTCAACCCTTTTCCCCGACCAGGGGAGTCCGCCAGGGAGACCCTCTATCTCCTTATCTCTTTGTTCTTTGCATGGAACGCCTTTCCCATTTGATTGATGATTGTGTGGATAGTGGGGAATGGAAACCTATTAGATTATCTCAGAATGGTCCGCCCCTCACCCATCTGTTTTTTGCGGATGATTTGTTGCTCTTTGCAGAAGCAGAGACTCGGCAGATAGGGATCATCAAGCGGTGCCTAGAGGACTTTTGCTTCAGTTCAGGCCAGCGTGTGAACTTCGACAAGTCGATGCTCTTCGTGTCTCCCAATGTTACTCGCCAGAAAGCCGAAAGGCTGAGTCGCCGCTCAGGCATTCCTCTGACAGCGGACCTGGGGAAGTACCTTGGGATCCAGACGATCCACGGACGTATCACTAAGGGGAGATACCAATCTCTTCTCCTCCGGATTCAGAAGAAATTGGCTCCATGGAAAGCCAGACGTCTCTCCTTTGCGGCTAGGCTCACTGTTGCTAAGTCAATTTCCGCTTCTTTACCTGTCTACCATATGAATACTGAGCTAATCCCAATGGGTGTTTGCAATAGCATTGATAAGATTAACAGGGATTTCATCTGGGGAGATGAGGAGAACAAGAGTAAGATGCATGTAGTGGCTTGGGAGAAGATGACGCTTCCTAAGACCTCGGGAGGAGCTGGCATCAGACCCACTAGACAGGCTAATCTGGCCATGCTGGCGAAAGGTGGGTGGAGACTACTCAAGGAGAAGGACACCCTGTGGACCCAGATCATGTATTCTAAATACGGGCGACAACAGAGACATCTTGACATCCTGCGACCATGTCAGGGAAGTTCCTTTACCTGGGCAAGCTTCGCGAAGGCTGCCACCCTCCTCAAAAAGGGGTGTGCCTGGAATATCAAGAATGGTAAACACACTAAATTTTGGCTTGATCCCTGGGTTTTGCAGGTCCCCCTCAAGGAGGTCGCTATTGGTCAGTTGCCGATAGGAAGTGAGGAGATGACTGTTGCTGATTTTGTTCACGATGATGGAAGCTGGCGGATGGATTTGTTCGAAGGGCTCCTTCCTCCACCTATCTCCCAAAAGATTCTTAGCGTGGCGGTGGATAAACTCTCCTCGGAGGACGACACACTCTTCTGGTCGGCATCCTCGGACGGAAACTTCTCGGCCCGGTCAGCCTACAACCTCAGTAAGGACCACCCGCAGGATGTAGATGAACCCCTTTGGAAGGCGATTTGGAAGCTCCCGGTCGCCGAGAGGGTGAGAAGCTTCACTTGGCTAGTCGGTTTGGGGAGGATTGTCACGAATGATCTGCGGCACTCTAGGAAGATAGCGGATGACCCCTCGTGCTATAGATGCAATGGCCAGTCCGAGACGGTGCTTCATGCTTTGAGAGATTGTCCGCCAGCGAGTTTCTTCTGGTCTCGAAGAGTGCCTCCATCCCGACAGCATTCTTTCTTCAGCTCTACTCTCAGGGACTGGCTCCGGGAGAACATCTTCAGCAAAGACAGTATGGCCACAGGTATGGAATGGCCGGCCTTCTTCAGCACTGCTTGCTGGCTCATTTGGAAGAATAGGTCGACAGCTTGTTTTAAAGGTATGGGGGCAGCTCTCTCTACTCATTCTCTTGAGCATGCTATTATGGCAAAAACCAAGCTCTGGCATGATGCTTGGAATGCGCCGTCCCGCCTCCCCAACAGTAAACAGGCTCCAGCGGAGCGAGTCTTAGCGCAGGTCGGTTGGAAGCCCCCACCTGAGGGATGGCTGTCTCTCCATGTCGATGGTGCTTCGTCAGGGAATCCCGGCCCGGCTGGTGCGGGTGGTGTTCTCCGGGATTCGAGTGGTAGGTGGGTAACAGGTTTTGTTGTGAATCTTGGCACGGCGACGGCCGCCCTCTCAGAGCTTTGGGCTATTAGCTACGGGCTCGATATCGCTTGGAAAGCTGGCTGCAGATTCCTCCAGGTGGCCTCAGACTCTCAACTGGCGATTCAGCTGATTAGTACTCGGCAGGACCCGATCCACCCCTATGCGACTTTGTTGGCAGCTATTAGAAGGAAGATTGGGAATGATTGGGTGGTTCGCATAACCCATACATATCGGGAAGGGAATAGAGTCGCGGACTGGCTCTCGAAGCACAGTCTCGTCTATCCCTACGGTATGCATGAGCTTGCGGACCCACCCAATGGAGTGACTTCGATTCTGCGAGATGATTGGATTGGGATTACTTTTGAGCGGCGAGTCATTGCCGCCTCCACCCCCCCCTCTGTAATCTCCTCTTGTAACTGCCTCTTTTTCTTGGCCTCGGCCTCCTTTGTAAGCAAAAAAAAAATTAATTACTTAAAACTTACGGAAGTGTCTTCCTTGAACTATTTTGTGAATGACTTTATTTCAATTAAGTAATTAAATGAGTAGATGAAATTCTATTAAAAATCATTAGCTTACTACTGCCAGCCAAAAAACTAGTTTTATAATAACGCATGAAACAAAATATTGAACCCAATAGCCAAACACGACATTTAGCCAAAATAGTCATCGTCAAATGCAATCAAGCCACATTAGAACCACTTCGGGGTAGCAACTAGCATGTATCCAGACATCCTATGCCATGCATTCTATTTCTCCACAAAGAAAAAGAAAGAAAAAAAAAAAAATAGCATTGCATGGTTGCAAGAAGGCAAAACTCATTGCATGACTTGTACCGGTAGTGCATCACCATCGATCTCTTTTTCCACCTAATTATATTTACCAAAGTCCAACTTACTACTTCGAGAGGAAGTCATTACTGTTTTGTCTGTTCTAACTTCTAAGCCAGTAAGTCAGCTCTCTTCTTTGCGTGGAAGCCCTGCCGTGTCATTTCTATGGACTTTGTTTTGTCAGGACTCTCGGTGGATCAATATTTTATAGGGCTTCCTTACGTGGCCAAAGCATATTCATGGAACAATATATCAGTTTTAGTTTGTCAAGTACCTTTTGGGCATGGAACAGACGGCCATTAATTGTTTAAGCTAACTGTAAGGATCCTTTGGCCCCAAGAAAGGAACTCAGTAGCAAGACTAATCAACACTTCTTACTAACCACTACAAGCATCAGCAGTGACCTACCTGTGTGGAAAAAAGACCAAAGACCAAGGTTACCACAATGCTATAAAGTGGTAGTGCAGAAAGCCAGAAACTAATGTAACAGTTAGTAAGCAAAGGGAGAGATCATCGATCAAAAGAAGAAGTGGAAAAAAAAAACAAGAGAGAAGGGAGCGAAGAATGGCAGAGATAGCAGTGAATTTTCTGCTAAGCAAGCTCGTGCCCTTTTACGAGCATGAAGTGCAGCTAATGAGAGGTGGGAGGCAAGGGGTGGTGTATTTGAGAGGCGAGCTGGAAAGGATTAGAGCCTTTCTGAGAGTTGCAGACTCGTTAGAAGAGAGTGATGAGGAGGTCAAGGTATGGGTCAAGCAAATAAAGGACGTTGCTCATGACGCCGAGGATCTCTTGGATGAGTTCACAATCCTCACTGCACACAATCATGCCAATAACCAAAACACCGGCATCTTTGGTTTCCTCCACAAGCTGCACTGCTGCATCAACAACATGAAGGCTCGCCACCGGATAGCTGTGGAGATCCAAGGGATCGTGTCAAGGATCAGGGACGTCTCCCACGGCCACCAGAGGCTTCGTCAGAAGTTGTTCACTGCAAACAGCAGTGATCACACGGGAGATGATGCCCTTTTAGTGGAGAAGAGCGATTTGGTTGGGATTGATGAGCCCAAAAGGACCCTTGTGAGCTGGCTGACTAGTGGCGGTTCAGGGAGAGAAGTGATCTCCGTCACAGGGATGGGTGGATTGGGGAAAACAACTTTGGTCAAACAGGTGTATGATCACGGAGGGGTGAAAAAGCACTTTGGTGTTCATGCATGGATCGCCATATCCAGATCTTACAAGATGGAGGAGCTTCTGAAGGACATTGTTCGACAACTGCTCACTTCAGACAGGAAGTCGATCCCAGAACGGGTGAACACCATGCACGTTAATGAGTTAAAGACGATGATCAAAGACATCCTCATCAACAAAAGGTACCTCATTGTTCTGGATGATGTCTGGCACACAAATGAGTGGGATGCTGTCAAGTATGCTTTGCCTGCCAACGATTGCGGAAGCAGAGTAATGCTCACGACCCGAAATGCTGATCTCGCCTTTGCCTTACGAATAGAATCAGAAGGGAAGCTCTACAACTTGGAGCCACTGCCTCAAGAGGAGTCATGGATGCTTTTATGCAAGAAGACATTCCAAGGAAACCCATGTCCAAACTATTTGGAGGATATTTGCAGGAGCATATTGCGGAAGTGTGAAGGCTTTCCGCTGGCGATTGTGGCAGTCAGTGGAGTTATAGCAACTAAAGACAAGAGAAGGATTGATGAACTGGAGATGGTGAGAAGATGCCTTGGTGCTGAAATTGATGGGAACAACAAGCTCAAGAACTTGAAGAAGGTTCTTTCTCTGAGCTTTAACGATCTTCCGTACCACCTGAAATCATGCTTCCTCTACTTGAGCATCTTTCCGGAGGATTATCGTATCAAGCGCATGAGGATCATTCGCCTGTGGGTTGCCGAAGGGTTCATGGAAGCAAAACATGGAAAGGAATTGGAAGATGTTGCAGAGGACTACCTGAATGAGTTGTTGAGCAGAAGCCTTTTGCAAGTCGCAGAGTGGAGAAGCGACGGAAGGGCAAAGACTTATCGGATTCATGACCTGGTGCGCGAGATCATCATCTCAAAGTCAAGAGAGCAGAACTTTGCAGTGGTTGCTAAAGATAAGAACAACATCATGCTACCAGACAAAATCAGGCGGCTCTCCGTACACAACACCCTACAAAATGTGCAGCAAGAAAACAGGTCATTCTCTCAGCTGAGGTCTTTATTCATGTTTGGAGTGGCGGAACAACTGCCTCTACAGGCTCTAACTCCAAGTGGGTTTATGCTCCTTAACGTCTTGGATTTGCAAGGGACATCCCTGAAGAATTTCCCAGTTCAAGTCATGAACTTGTATTACCTCAAGTACCTCAGTTTGAAGAACACCAGAGTGAGCTCCGTCCCTCCATATATAGGAAAGCTTCAGCTCCTCGAGACCTTGGATTTGAAGCACACTAATGTCACGGAATTGCCTCCCAACATCTTGAAGCTCCAAAAGCTAAGTCACTTGTATGTGTACCGGTACCACTACAAGTCATATGGAGATTTTGACTCCAAAACTGGTTTCAAAGCTCTTGACAAGATAGGGGAGTTGAAGTCTCTACAAAAGCTTTGCTTCATCGAGGCAAGCAGTGGAAGTGATGGCCTAATGACAGAGTTGGGCAAACTAGCTCAGCTAAGAAGGCTCGGTGTCCTGAAGCTGAGGAAGAAAGATGGCAAAGCTCTATGCTCCTCAATCGAAAACCTAATCAATCTTCGAGCTTTGTCCTTGATGTCAATAGAAGAAAATGAGATCCTTGACCTCCAACACATTTTCTCCCCTCCCCCGCTTCTTCAGAGGCTCTACTTGGCAGGTAGATTGGAGATGTTACCGCACTGGATACCTAACCTTCATAGCTTGGTCAGACTTCATCTTAAATGGAATCGACTTAACGAAGATCCTCTGGAATCTCTCCAAGTTCTTCCAAACCTTGTTCACCTTGAACTCTTACAGGTTTATGAAGGGGAAACTCTGCATTTCCGCGCTGGCGGGTTCAAGAAGCTGAAGCTATTGGGTATAGACAAATTTGATGGACTGAGGCGCATTTTAATAGATGTTGGAGCAATGCCATGTGTGGAGAAGCTATGGATCCAGAGGTGCAAGTTACTGGAAGAAGTGCCACTAGGGATTGAACACTTGACCAGACTAAAGGTTTTGGAGTTCTTCGACATGCCTCAGGATTTGATCAAGACATTGTCGCTGAACGAACCTGAGGGAGTTTACTCGAGAGTTGCCCACATCCCAGAAGTTTATGCTACATATTGGAGGGAAGCTGGCTGGGAGGTCCATTCTCTAGATAGTTGCAACTGCTCGCCTAGGCCGAATCATGTAATCAGAAATGAAGAGCTCCATCCTCGCTGGAAATAAGTTTACAAATGCGAAGGGTTAGCTGTGAAGCATCCGACTGCCATGGACAAGGAATATAATAATGGATGGCTAAAAACGTATTATAGTTAAGGGTGTAGGAGTAAGAAGACATCATGATTCATGGGAATGCAACCTAACTTACAAATCAAAATCTAGAACTCCCAACGGGTCATCACCACTAAAGGTGAACCTGAAACTATAGATAAAGAAGCACGACGGGTCTTATTGGCTAGTTAGCTCGTCATATAATTTTTGGTCTGTAAATAGCTGGGTGTATATAGAAGTCTTTACAGTCACTTCCCCTCTCTAAATGGAAATGGAAATGGAAATTTACCAATATCAGCATCCCATAATGTGAACTATGAGGCAGCCATAACTTTGACCCATTTTTCTCAAATTCTATTCCATATCTTGATGACTATGGCGTGTATGAACAATCATAAACATGCAGACCACAAGCAACAATTTAAAGTAATGCATATCAACATGGTAAGCCAACACAAAGGAAAGGGAGAAACTTAACAGAAGAGAATGCAGTTTTCCATGGCTGTATTGCATATCTTGTTCCAGTTACTTTAAGCCATAATCCTAATAGATGGAACCCAGTGAACATCATATTCCCCAAGGTTATCCACCATAAACATTACAGAAGTTTCTGAATCAGAACATTTCAGTGCCTATTGAACTCAAGTAACCAGGTACCTTCCCACAATGACCCTTGAAAAGTGGTCAGGAATCCCCAACTAGCAGTTTGTTTGATACATTTCAATAAACCCAGTAGTGGAACCCGATCAATTGGTTTTAGGATCCGGCATAGGGAACAATCCAGCGGCGGCGAGAATCCTAGGAATTTCTGCAGATTTGTGCGGATGCTAATCGAACACAAGAAATACAAAAACGCCATGGAACAATCCGTCGGGTCGTCGCCTTACAAACCCTTGTGGTTCATCTTCTTCACAAGCGCAATCGGGTGGAACGGTAGCTTCGCGACGACTTTACCTTGGAACATGGAATTCAACAGCCCGAACAAGTGCTACCACGGCTCCCGATTTGAACTTGAAGAGGGATAGGTCGCGGCTTGACTCCTTGAGCGAGGTCTCCACGCGATTGATCTTCTTGGAATTGGATTTCTTCGTCACGATCTTGGTTGTGTCGGTTTTCATGGTCTCCAGCTTCTTCGAAGCTTTGTCGATGGAGGATTTGAGGGACTTGTAGGAGCTGGTGCGGTAGATCAAGATCCAGGAGATGCCTCGCAGACGACGGCGGTACAGAGGGATATCCCGACCACCGTCAGGCTGTCGCCGTACTTGAAGGAGGAGAGGAATTGAGGAGTTGCCATCCAACTGGAGCCGTAAAGAGCGTTTGGCACACCAAGGGAAGTCGGAATCGGAGCTATCGTCGGAGCATATTAGAACTAGCAGTAGCTAGGGTAAGAAGAAGAAAGTAGACGACGGCACAATTGGAACGCGCAAGAGGAAATCGATTCCCTCTGCTTCTCTTTTATATTAGGTTCAGTAGGCTTCAAGTTCACGTTACAAACAGTGGAAGTGGAAATGGAAATGGAAATGGAAATGGAAATGGAAATGGAAAAACTGTAATTTAAAATGTCTGTAAATGTAAGGCCACGTGTCGTGGCGTCATTCGTCTTGGCTGGTTCCACCCAATGGTAAGTAGATGAAATCCACAACGGCGTCGTCTCAATCTTCTACTAAACTGCTGAGTGGAATGGAACCCAGAAACGTTTCCGTTTCTGGGTGGCGTTTCTTCTTCATAAGCTTCACTCCTCTGAAACGTTTCTGGGTGGCGTTTCTTCTTCATAAGCTTCACTCCTCTGCTGCTTCGCTGCTCTTCGTCTGCAACAGAGCATCAGCTTCATCTTCTTCAGTTAATACTACCCCGCAAGCTGGCGAGTAGGCATTGTGCACTCCCAGTTTATCCAAAAGAAACTTCAGTCTGTAACGTGGCATACCTTTGGTGAATAAATCCGCTACTTGATCATTTGTCCTCACATGAAACAACTTTATCAACCCTGACTTCAATCTTTCTCTTGTAACGTGACAATCGATCTCGATATGCTTCGTCCTTTCGTGAAAAACTGGATTCTCAGCGATATGCAATGCAGATTTGTTATCACAATACAAAGGAATGGGTAAAGGAACCTTGATCCCCATTTCTGACAGTAGATTTCTCAACCACTGAACCTCACAAACAACTTGAGCCAAAGCTCTGTATTCGGCTTTCTGAGGATGATCTGGAAACGGTAGTTTGCTTCTTAGTTTTCCAAGTAATGAGAGAAGTTCCCAAGAATGTGCAATACCCAGTCAAAGACCTTCTGGAATCTGGGCAACTTGCCCAATCAGCGTCACAATAACCAGATAGTTCAAGTTTTGCATCAGCCTTGAATATCAAACCTTGGCCAATAGTCTGTTTCACATATCTGATTACCCTGTGTGCAGCCTGAAGATGCTCATTGCAGGGTGCTGATTGGAACTGAGCAAGTTGCTGCACTGCATAGGTGATGTATGGTCTCGTGATGGTAAGGTAATGAAGCTTCCCTATAAGGCATCTGTAGACACTAGGATCGGGCAATGGCTCACCCTGTTCTCCAGAAAATTTCATATTGCAGTCAACTGGTGAAAGGCAACCCTTAGCTTCAACAAAGCCCGACTCCTCTAATAACTCAAGGCAGTACTTCTTTTGACACACTGAGATCCCTTTATGATCCCTCATAACTTCCAAACCAAGAAAGTACCCCATTGGACCCAGATCTTTGACCTTAAACTCGTTACTTAAGAAAGTTTTAAGCTGCTGAATATCCCCAAGGACAACCACTACTCTACCTTGAATCCATCTCACAAACATTGAGTAATCAGAAGCAGTCTGTGAGTATCCATTCTTCAACAAAGCATTGGTAAGTTTAGAAAACCACTGCCTACTTGCCTGTTTAAGTCCATACAAGGACTTTTTGAGTTTGAATACCAGACCTGAATCCTTAGGAACATCCACACCAGGATGGATTTCCAAGTAAACCTCTTCTTCCAAGTCACCATGCAAGAATGCATTGGACACATCCATTTGGTGGATGTGCCAATCCTTAGCTGCAACCACTGCTAATAGGGTCTTCACAGAGTTGATTTTGGCTACTGGGAAATAGGTATCTAGGAAGTCTATTCCATAGATCTGAGTGTAGCCTTTGGCTACCAACCGAGCTTTAAACCTCTCAATTGCCCCGTAGGTCTCTTACCTGCAGGCAGCTTAACAACTTCCCAAGTCTGATTCTCATACAATGCAAAGATCTCTTCTTTACAGGCTTGTTTCCAACGAGGATCTTTGCATGCCTCAGCAAAAGAAGTTGGTTCCTCAATGGACAAAACACTCAAGGCAAAAGCCTTTTGACTAGCAGTAAGATGATCATATGCCACCTGGTGAGATATATGATGTTTGCTTTTGGTGGTTGCCATGCTCACATGATAATCTTTGTGCCAAATAGGGACTGTTCGATGCCTATTGGATTTTCTTAAAAACTCAGCCTCATCATTGTCATTGTCATCAGGAAACACTTCTATCTCCATGTCCTCCCCCTCAAACTGCAAGCTGATGGGAGGAACATCCAGTGAAGCAGCAGGCAGTGCAGAAGAATTAGGAGAAGAAGTGTTAGAAGAAGTAGAAGAGGAAGAATGAGTTGAACTTGGACTAGGAATATAAGTGGAAGAAGCAGGTTTGGCAATAGGGGAATGAGAAATGGAAGGTTGAGCAGATGGGGAATGCTCATCAGCAGGGATTATAGGAGTAAGGTGAGGTGTGACAGAATCAGGAATAGAGGAGGAAGTGGATTGAGTAGAGTGGAATGGATTGGGAAAATGGACTCATAGAAAGTCACATCCCTGGACACAAAGTAAGAATGGTTGTTAAGATCAAAGAGCTTGAAACCTTTAATCCCAGTGGGAAAACCAAGAAAGATACACTGCCTGGCTCTTGAATCAAACTTAGTTCTATCCCTGTGAAGGGTAGAAGCATAGCAAAGAGAGCCAAAAACCTTCAGATTGTTGAGAGAAGGTGGTTTGTTGTATAGAAGTTCATATGGGGACTTGTTGTCTAGAACTGTGCTAGGTAATCTATTTATTAAATAAACAGCATGTAATACACAATCACTCCAAAATCTGAGGGGTATGCCAGATTGGAATCGAAGTGATCTGGCCACATTGAGGATATGCTGATGCTTCCTCTCTACTCTAGCATTCTGCTCAGGGGTTTCCACACAAGACTGCTGGTGAATGATTCCTTTTTCAGTATAAAAGTCTGCTAGATGAAACTCAGAGCCCTGATCACTTCTAATGATTTTAACAGACTTAGAGAATTGCCTCTCTACCATAGTGCAAAAGCTTTGCAACAAATAACCAGCTTCAGATTTAAATTTAATCAAAAACACCCACACAGCTCTAGTGAAATCATCCACAATTGTCAGAAAATAAGCATAACCTTCATGAGACTTAACTGCCAGGGGACCCCAAATGTCTACATGAATTAAAGCAAAAGGTTCAACTGCTCTTATGCTACTGACAGGGAAAGGAAGTCGTTTGTGTTTAACAAAATGACAAATGGAACAATGAGAAACTACAGTCCTATCACTAGGTAATAATTGCTTCTCTTTGTCCTTGCCGGGATGCCCTAGTCTCCAGTGCCAAAGCTGGATCTGATGTGGTTGAAAATTGTATGAAATGGCTGCTTGGGGTGTAGGAAGGATAGGTGCTTTGGCCTTGGCATGCAGTTGGTATAATCCATTACTCTGTCTTGCCAAACTAGTCCTTTTCTGGGTCACCAGGTCCTGAATTTGACAAGAATCATATTCAAAGTGTAAGGATATGGGTTGATCATTTGTCAATTTGCTAACTGAGATAAGGTTAAAGGTGAAGCTAGGCACAAGAAGAACATTGTCTAGAGATAGATCAGGGGACAGTTGGACTTTGCCTATGTGACTAACCCTCACTTGAGTCCCATTAGACAAGTATACAAACTAATCACTAACTGGGATGTACTCAGAGAACAGACTGATGTGGCAAGCAATATGATCAGAAGCCCCAGTGTCAAGGATCCAGCAATGACTAAGAGATTCTGACCTATGTTGTAAGTAAGAAGACAGGATGAACTTACCAGCATAAGTAGGAAACAGACCAACATTGTGAGCCACTGAGAAGGCCAGGTGATTGACTGAAGGTGAAGCAGGAGGAGAAGGACTAGGTGAAGGCACTGTCTGAAGCAGATACTTGAGCTTGTTTAGCTCTTCAGTAGAAATACTCATGCTCTCCTTAGAAGAAACACTTCGAGTATCATTGCTCAACTTAGACTCTGAGCTTCCAGCATCACTCTCATTAGAGCTTTCACCATGAATAACTGCAGCAGCTACTCCACCAGACATCCTCAGCTTCTTATTTTTCAGCCTATAACATTCCTCCTTGGTGTGACCATCCTACTTACAGTATCTGCAAAATTTCTTCCCATCTTGAGGTTCTCCTTGAACAGCTAGTGCAACAGTTTGAACCCCTCTAGTTATGCCTTTGTCAGCCTTCAACTTCTGCTCATGCTGCAAAACGTCATTGATTGCATTATCCACAGTAGGAAGTGGCTTCATCATCAAAATCTGGGTGTGCACTACATCAAACTCAGACCTAAGACCCTTGAGGAAACGAATGAGGTAATAAGTTTCCTGTTGTTGCTTAAATGCCTCAACTGCATCACAAGGTTGGGTTCTCTGTGGCGCACAATTGCAATCAACAATAGGGCTAAATTGAAGGTGTTCTTCCCACAATCCTTTCAAAGATGTGTAGTACTGAGTCACATTAAGAGTTCCTTGCTTACAAGCAATGATTTGATCTTGCAAATTAGATAGTTTAATTGCATTTGCAAAACCAAAACGAGCCTTAAGCTCTTCCCACAAGGTTCGAGCAACTTCATGTTGCATCACACTCCTTCGAATCTCCTTATCATCAGAATTCAAGATCCAACACAGCACAAGGGTATTACAAGCATCACATGTACCATAAGTCGCATCTCCCACAGCTGGGATAGCAATCAATCCATCAATAAACCCTAATTTGTGTTTCGTTTTCAGGGCCATTCGAACAGCTCTCTGCCACATCTGGTAATTAGCTGATAGACCGATAATTACACATGTTTTCACCCCTATTCTGAAGCCGTTTGTGATGTGGAATCTCGTGTTTTAAGCCGATTTCACGCTAGGTTGTGTGTTTATGTCATATTTCAGGTCCCGGCGTTGGAATCGAGGCGGAGAAACGAGTTCTGGGTCGAAAGGAGCCGAGTTGGGACTAAGGGGGCTGCAGGAGGAAAATACCCGGTCAGGTGGCAAAATACCCGACCGGGTATTAACCAAGGTTGGGCGCCCGAGAAACAGAGAGGGGCCCGGGCACATCAGTTAAATCCCCGGTCGGGGATTTTGGTGGTAGACCGGGGATTTTCCCTGAGGACGAAACGGTGCGCTTCAATTATACCCGGTCGAGACCCAAAATACCCGACCGGGTATTTCGACCGGGTATCGCGAGGGCAGCTGATAAAAGCCGGTTTTGTGCGTTTTTGCAAAGAGAGCTGGGTTTTGGATCCCAAACACCCAAGGGACGAACCAAAGAAAGAGAGGGCGATTTGAGGGCATTCTCATAGTGGAATTGGAGGATTTCTTCGCCTTGGAAGCTCGAGGAACAAGCCCGGACTTGAAGACTGATCATCTGAAGATTCTTACTGCAGTCTCTCTCTTCTCTATGGAGTAACTTCCCTTCACTTAGGTTTTGAGGAACCCTAGCTATGTTTGTTTGATTGGATGATTGTATGAGTACTCTGACTTGATAATCTTGAGTTCATATTCAATCTATGCATGTTTTCACGATTCAATTCTGCTTTAGTCGAGATTATTGATTCTGCTTTGATCCTATGAGAGCGAATACCTGATTAGGTCAATAGAGCACCATAGATTGATAGTAGTGGATCGATTGCTTTAGTCGAGGGTTGATTCACTGCTTTGTATCGATTGAGAACCTCATTCGATAGAGGGAATCTAGTTCAGAACGCCTTGATCGGTTGTTCTAGAGAAGGATACGTCCCTCTAGGCAATTGACTCAAGAGGGCCTTGTTCCTTTAGTCGAGACTCAAGGTCTAGTCAAGGATTCTCCGCATTGTGAATGAAAGTGAAACAAGTTAGAGATCATCAATCGTTAATCTGGCTAGTGGCTAGGGGGAATCATACCTAAGTGAGTTCCCAACCTGTAATTAGATTAACTTTAACTGTAGTTTGCTAGAGTAGTTTTAGTTCTTTCAACTTAATCTGTTTTGCTAGATAACGAACTGAAGCTGAGTAATAGTAACTCTAGAGACCCGTGGATTCGATATTTATTACTTGAGCCACTATACTGCAGTCCCTTTCATTGGTTACACTTGGCCATTGTTAGGTGTTGTGTTTTAGCGAGTCATTAGCACCATCCAGTATTTCTGAAACGATCGCTTGAGAAATGTTCTCATTAGGGTTGATATAGAAAGGATTACCGAATTGTAGATCCAGGCGATCGTTGTTGATGTTGTTGTTGTTGCTCGTCGTTCCAGAATTCATCCCTGTGAAGCTTCCAAAAGGAATGCTACCAGGAGGTGTGTTTGGTGGTGTCGTTGCCATGGAAGCGTTACTGAATCAGTGACCGCTCTGATACCATATTAGAACTAGAGTAGCTAGGGTAAGAAGAAGAAGAAGAAGAAGAAGAAGAAGAAAGTAGACGACGGTTGAATTGGAACGTGCAAGAGGAAATCGATTCCCTCTGCTTCTCTTTTATATTAGGTTCAATAGGCTTCAAGTTCACGTTACAAACAGTGGAAATGGAAATGGAAAAACTGTAATTTAAAATGACTGTAAATGTAAGGCCACGTGTCGTGGCGCCATTCGTCTCGGCTGGTTCCACCCAACGGTAAGTAGATGAAATCCACAACGGCGTCGTCTCAATCTTCTACTAAACTGCTGAGTGGAAGGGAACCCAGAAACGTTTCCGTTTCTGGGTGGCGTTTCTTCTTCATAAGCTTCACTCCTCTGCTGCTTCGCTGGTCTTCGTTTGCAACAGAGCATCAGCTTCATCTTCTTCAGTTAATAGAGCAAGTTAACATTGATGAGTTCTACTTCCAGTTGGCTTCTGACACTAAGTAGGAAGGCTGGGCCGGGCTGACACACTTTGGGCCTATTTGGCTCCATGGGCTCACAGTAGCTCAACAACAAAGGACTTTAGTTTTTCAGGGAAATGTGCACCTTTATCATCATTATTCCAGTGGCCGGACAATCCTTTCTGCAAATGTGAACCTTTCTTTCTCAGTCGCTGGAATTTCCGCCGGAGTCCCACCGCCGTTTAACGCGAAGGAAGGATTTGTGGAAGAGGAAGCTCAACTAATGTTTGAGTCCTCTGTTCCTTTTTATAGATAGGAAAGCGATTAAACAAACTACGGCAGGTGTACTTACATGATAAGCTGGAAATTTAAATAAACAGTAAAGTTTAACGGCTAACAACAACTAAAGGATCCGCTGAGTTTTGCTTCTTTCTTCTTCACGGCTCAGCAACACGACGCCATTCTTCTCATTTCCTCTGATCCAGTTCGAATCCTTCTGCAACAAGGATTGCAGTCTTCATTTGTCCTTCATCAAACCAACAACAACTTAATCCAACTCTGTCACCGTTCTCCAAATCTTCTATCAGGGCCGGCGATCCGGGAATCTTGTCTCCCCACGCTTTCCCCTTGGCCCTCTCATTCCATTTGGTAATTTCTTGTTTTCCTCTAGTATTTGCCAAACCGAAATTGAAGTCTCAGCTGGTTTTCTGGTGAATCGAACACTCACCTAAGTTCTTGAGTCATCCAAATCGCGAATCTCGCTATGCTTTATGTGTTCATCTTTGTTTGACTATGGCTTCCTTCGTGCTATTATTCATCATGGCAGCCCTCTTTTTGGGAAGAAGAGTTGGGAAACTTTATCGATTGATTGATTGTGTGCTGTCCTATGGAACTAGGTGATCAGCGGGTGATGGGAAGACCAAGGTGAATTGTCAATGACTTGGATGGAGAAGACGACAGTTGGGTGATTGTGAAAAGGCAGAGAGTCACTTTCTTCATTACTCCATAGAGGTGGCAATTAGGATCCAAATCCATGAATCCAATCCATCCACCAAATTATCCACCTAATCCAATCCATTTAAATCCAATCCATTTGATCCAAATCCAATTGGATTGGTGGATTCATGGATCAATCCATGGATCCAAATGGCAAATTACGATTTGGTACCTATATTTTTTACATTTTACATTTTGGTACCTAAAATTTATATTTTTATACGAAAAATATCATTGGAAAATTACATTTTGGTACCTAAAATTTTTCATTATGACATTTTAGTACCAAAACTTTTCAAATTTTACATTTTGGTCCAAGTTTTGGATGTCATTTGGATTCATGGATCAATCCACCAATCCATTTGATCCAATCCATGAATCCACCAATCCATTGGATCCAATCCATTTGATCCATGGATCCACCAATCCAATCCACGAATCCACGAATCCGATCCAATTGCCACCTCTATTACTCCACCACCTGATGCAGCGAAATCCACAGCGTTTCCCTTCGCTGTACCTACCTGTGAGGAAGCCATGCCTGCAGAAATGATCAAAGGCGGTGAATCAACAGATGCTGACACGGCAGAGACCTGTGCATGGATTTGTCCCGCCGGGGAGGCCGTTGTGGTTCGAGTGGATAACCGGAGGGCTGGTACTATTGCTACTACTGCTATGGTAGGAGCATCAAGAGCGTCGAGAACCATGAAGCGGCCGAGACTGTTTTTGCCTGGGCAGAGTATATTCGACAGGGGGCCAGCAGCATTGAACCAGACACTGAGAGAGCACTCGTGGAGAGAAAAATCGAGAAGGCTGGCGGGTTGAGCAACTGGTTGACATCGTTAGGGTTGGATCAGTTTGTGACGATCTTCCGCAGCAGTAGCGATGGTAAGTTTCAGCTGGTTAACCTGACGATGGAAAAACTGAAAGATATGGGTGCTGATGCTGTTGGTCCAAGGAGGAAGTTGATGCATGCTATCGACTGCATTTGTCAGCCATACTGTTTCGGTTCCAAGTGAGAAAAGTCTTTACTTCCTAGCCTAAACAAACAAATAGATTGTTGTAACAAACATCTCTATTATATTGCTTGCTTCTCAAAAGACCCATCTAACGTATCGATGTAATTATGTTCACTAAAATAACGGTAGAATACTGGAAATACACACATTAGAGCCATTCTTTCGGGTTGATACAAGCATCCAACAGTTTCCACTCTTCACTTCCTTCCTCTGGTTTCTGTTATACAGCCGAAGATAACTTGTTAGGCCAGCTCGACGTGTCATTAGACCTGGAAACACAAGCAATAGCTTAAGCAGATTGTCACTGGAAAAACTTACGTGGTCATACTCCCACCGAGCTGATAGCGGCAACGAGACCAGAATACTTTCTATTCGACCTCCAGTCTTCAGCCCAAAAGTTGTGCCCCTATCATACACCTTCAATTTGCCATGTAAAAACTCATGAAGTTAAGAAATTTTGCAGACAGCGTTGCAGTAATTGTACAAGGGAGTGACAGTTTTGATTTACCAAGTTGAATTCTACATAGCGGCCGCGGCGCAACTGTTGCCATGCTTTATGCTGGTCATTAAATGGCATATCCTTCCTTCTCTCCACGATTGGAACATACGCGGGAATCACGGAATTCGCACACTCTAAATACAACAGAAGACAGAATTAAGTAACTGAGAACTGCTCAATAAAACAACCGGTAGCTACTCTTGATTCAGCCGAGAGAGGATACACTACCAGTAGCAAAAGCAAGAAGCATCTCTTGATCATAGTCATTAAGATCATCAAAGAATATTCCCCCAAGTCCTCGCCTCTCACCTCGGTGCTGTACACAGTAACGATCAACACATTACAATTAAATCGTATGTTCTACTTGTCACTTACTGTAACCTGCGTATGTTCTACTTGTACATCAAACTCTCATTTACTATGACAAGAGGAATACATCTATATGATCACATTATGTCCTAAATGGCTTTAAGACCATATGCAATGCAACGCTGAAGGAATACATTATGATGACTAACAATGCAATAGCTTTACAGAAGCACCTATTCAAGTCCCTAATATTCTGTCATGTCGCAGGACACATATCAGGTCCCAAGACTGTCAGCCATACAAACAGCAGACTACATAAAGAACTGCTGCATTTTTGCTCTTCATTAATGACTACTACAGCTATCATTTACTTAAGAGATGGATTTTGTGATATGATAACAAGGAAATAAGAACCAAACTTGAGATATTACACTGATAGTGATCAAACCACCACAACCTACGTAAAAGAAATGTTTTGCCCGGCACAAACCTTGATGTAGAAATAATCATCACACCATTGCTTGAAGCGTGGATAAAATGTGGGATCAAACTTGTCACATGCCTTCTTTTGAACCTGAAAAGTAATGAGTAACAATTGAAAAAGAAACGTTAGTAGAGACCAAATCATTTTTTCCCCGATGAATAGCAATCTTTATTAAGCTCTCTAGCCAAACTGTTGGCATCGTCCATACCGCAAAGATCCAAATCCTACCAATCTCTACTCCTTTACACAGAAAAGACTAAATAAGTATTACAGAGTTAACTGCAGATCACTAGCAAGGGACGACTAAATAAAAACACATCCTCAAATCCAAATTCTTAACTTGTGTAACAACAGGAATATGATAAGTATATCCCAATATACAGAGCATTTGTCATATATAAGAACAGAGAATGAGCTAAACCAATGGAAGATATACCGAATGAAAATGCTTCACATCATCCTCGAAGATATAAGCTGGGGTTAAGTCAGTCCCGCCACCGAACCACCATTGCCTAGGGGCTCCAGGAGCATCTGTATGCAGTACAACGATTAGTCATGAAAGAGTTCTGGGGCAAAGGCTTGCCTTTGCACGGGACATTCAATAAGCAGTTGACCAACTACCCAGTTACTATAAAAAATCCCCAGCAAGAAAAAAAAAATGGCAGCAGGTTTCAAAACTTGGTGCTCAAGTTTGGTCAGCCGCTGCAATCGACATAAAGAAAGGTCTTCACACTGAAGTACCCTGCCCACCTCAAGCACATCGTATATCATTCACATATCCAACTAGTTAAGAAATCTGAAAAGCTCGTGAAGTTCATTATTAACAACAGATTGATATGGTGAATGAAATCAAGTGGATTAAGAGGGAAATCACCAAGCATATTAGAGATGAATATTTAAACAAAATGTTTATCTTGCCTAGCACACCAGATTACTCAACTTTCCCCCTCAAGATATAGCACCGCTGAGTTACTAAATTCAGGTGAGGGGATTTCATTTTCACTGGGTTGCATAAGAACAAGTCAGATAAGTGATTTGCAGAGAGAACTGACGGGATAGAATGCGGAAAGCTAACCTTTGGGAGCATCAGTCTCGAAGTATCTATAGTTAAAATGCACAGTGGGAGCAAAGGGATTCTTGGGATGCAAGACCTGAGAACAAAGAAGATAGAAAACGAAAACAGGAGTTGACTTAGCCATTGATGGCAGACAACACAAACAGATCATGGATTTTGATGAGTGCTCAGTAGAGATTAAGCACAAGGCAGAAAATGCTGAAACAGAACAAGTGAGCAGGAAATGGGCAATTACAGAGCTGATTCCGGCTGCGAAGAAAGGAATAGGGCCAGGTTTCTGATCGGGAGAAGCCGACCTGGCAGCTCTATACGCTTCAGGGGGCATAACGCCATAAACGACGGACACATTAACTCCCGCCTTCTCAAAAACGGCGCCGTCCTGCAAGACTCTGCTAATGCCTCCGCCACCGCCCGGTCTGGACCAGACGTCTTCTTTAAACTTGCCGACTTTATCGACGGCTTCGAGGGCCTGGCAGACGCTGTCCTGAGCATCCCTGATCATCTTCTCAAACCGAACCCTCACCTCTCCACTCTCCGATTCTCTGAGAAATGTGTCGGGCCGCTCCGTCTCCATCGTCTCTTTCTCAATGGAAACCGCCGCCGGGGGTCGCATTGGGAGAGGGGAGCGGAGGGAAGAGAAATGCGGGGATAATCGACTGGTTTTGGGACTAGAAGGAAAGGAGAGCGAATTGGCTTTGCCGACAGAAAGGGAAGGAGCGTGAGTTGGAGTGGATATAGAAGGAATGAGAGGAGCGAATGAGGAGGACGCGGATGCGGAGACGGTCGGAATCATCTCTCAGATTGTGGCGCGATGAGCAGCAGCAGCAGTGATAGAAAAATTTCTCACCGATATACGAATTTCTCGGCCGCGGCCGACGGGTCGGTGGTGGAAAGAATGGGGGTGAAACGTCGGAGAACGACGACTAGGAGCGGTGATTTTGATTGCCGAGTCTGATCCCCCCCGATTATCTCCTCTCTCGTTCAACGAGGATGAACCCTATCGGGAAACGACATAATAGAAAGCGTAAAGCACAGTTTGCAATTCTGAAACGATACCGTTTCCTCCTTCTTAAAGCCTCGACCAATACGGTGGGCGGTAGCTGCTGCATCGCCGAAACCTGGATCCACTCAAACTCAAGTCGACGAAACCTGAGAAAACAAAATTAGGGGCCGCAACTAGCAAAAAAGAACACAGTTTAGGAAAACTAGCAGCAGCAATTTGATGGAATAAGATGCGTTTTAGTTGCTCTTGGCTCCCACCTGCCCACAATAAGCATGCTTCGGATTGTAGCTTTTGTCCCCAATATTTGAGTGTTGGTTATAAAAAAAAACTAGATTAGGGCCCAGCCTCTTGGCCGGAGAGTTTGATTTTCATGTGCATGTGTAGTGAACATTGAGGATTGAAGTAACAATTTAATTTGGTAAGTTCTCCATGAATAATATAGGAAAGTATTTAATGTATTTGACTAATGAAGTTTAAAAAATGACAAACATCGCCCAACTACACTAACATAAATTCATATTTCAAACAAAGTCATATCTATATAAAAATGTCTAAGAAGAACAATGATAAGAGTTGTTTTACATCACACATACATAATCAATCTTCAGTATACGATAAATTTTTTTGCCTTTTCCATTGACTTTCGTGTATTCAATGATATTATAATGAAACAAACACTATGTTTAGAGTGTACTTAAAAAGAAACAAACTAACTCACACAGTCATGGTTCCATTGACTTTAGTGTATTCAATGATATAATGAAACAAAACATGCAGATCTCCAGCTGCAAGTTCAACTAATAAAGCAACACATAAAAAGCTAAATCAAAGCGAAAAGAAGGCAAAAACTAAAAGCAGTATACCTAACATTTTGGGGGAAATCCACAATAAATAAAAGTCATTGTATGAACACTTGATAATGATTTGAACACTTGTGATATATGAGTTGTGAAAGTTAATAAAAGTCATTGTAGCTCTTACTCAAGTTAGAAAGACTTTGATTTAATGGTAAGTAAACAATGATATGTAGTGCTTAAGAGGGAAGATGAGACCTTACATTGTTTATTGGTAAGTAAACAATAATATGCATCTTAGTTTCATAAATTTTACATCATTAAAAATTTATGTGCTGAATAGAAACCCATCCAAGTTTGGAGGCATTGTAAAATGTAAGTTATGAGGCAAATGAAAAGTCTCAAGCAAGGTTGTCAACACGCGGGTTGACCCAGACGCGGGGAAGCTAGTGGGTCAAGGGTTAATGGGTCACCCGGTTTAGCCCGAAAATATGGAAAGAGTCATTATATTATACTTATCCTGATAAATTATATCAAATCTCATCTAACATATGAGTTAAAACATATAATATTACACTAAAATAACATGTCGTACTTAGATCCAACATATAGTGAAAATTCACACACAATTATATAACAACAATATTCAAATGTTCAACTTAGGATTCCAAAGATTGAGTTAGGCGAAAAGAAAATCGGAAAATAGGCGCATTTCGCATACCAAATAAAAAAATGACACAATTTGACCTCTAACCCGGTACCTTGTAGCGGTCGACTCAGCGGGTGCGTGCAACCCGTTTTTCTCACCGGGTCAGGGTCAAAGTGGGTCCATCCGCAGGTTGACAACTTAATCTCAAGCATCCACATGCTTGCAAAATAAATCTATATTATCAAACATAAAATCATATCTTGCATCAGAAAAAAAGAACAAAAAAGTAGTAATTCGATAATCAATACAGGAATCAATATGGACACAATATCTAACCAAGAGAAGAGGAAGCGAAAAAACACAAATTGTTGTGTATAGATTCTGCTCACGATATTTCAAAGTGAAAAATATCATAAAAATTATTAACCAATAAAAGGGAACGGTTAAGGGGAAAATGCATCAATTTGAACCTAAAATGAGAGGAATTAATATCCTACACCATCATATATAATGATATATTATATCCCAGAACATCATAAAAAATCTATCTAAATGAAAAAGCATACTAAATTGAATCCAATGTAAAAGTAACGATGAGGATAGATATTATATCCACCTAAGGAATAATAAAGTAGCCCATATTTCTTAAAGACCTCTCTCGATAGAACCACTCTATTATAAAACCCATTTCGTCAAACAATTGCATCATATAGAGTTTTAACTTAAATTTGAAGTGCTTATAATGAGCTATTTCAGCTCATGAATGAATTAATTATATCATTTGGTAAAAGAAAATAATTTATAAACTTGAGATTTATTTCATTTGTTGTTAAATCATTTGAACTAAAGTATGAAATTGCTTCAGAATCATTATTTTATTCATTATTATTAAAATTGCTATTTTTATTAAAATGTCTAAGCATATCTAGGCGAGCTAGGAGATAGACAAATGCCTAATGATCGTCGTACGCCTAACGTGCTGCTGAACCTCAATTTCTATAGCAAACTTTGAGTGCATCTTATAAATTTGATCACTTCTATTTTGGTATAATTGATTACATCAATAAAGCGATCAATCAAAGAGTCTTTCTTTAAGATTTTGATAAGATGTCCCCTACTGCACAATTAGTATGACTAAATTGTGCTAACATAATCATGTATTGAATTTTGAATCAATAGCGCAAAAGATTGTACTAATTCAAGTAGAGTTTTAGCTACTCAGTACTTCATATTCGCATGTAGATAGCTATTTCGAAGAGTTCGAATATTGATTGAGTTGGTTGAACTTTACCTAACGAAACTATGATATCAAGCGCAATATATTATGCTTTTAGGAGAAATTGGGAGAATATGTTGGTGACATCAAACCTAACATGGATACCATTGAATTTAAGTGATAAGCAACATTTATGTTTAATAGATTAGACATGAAAAATATATTTAGCATTCTCATAAGTTGGTATGAAGAAGTAAGAAGTGAATAATTAGGAATTGAAAGCTAGAAACAAAGTTGATTTAATAAATAACTGCAAATGATATTGTGAAAAAGAAAACAAATGCTTAGAGCATAGCTAGACATGAGAGTGTTACATTAAACTCTCTAAGAGAAAGCAAGTAACCATTAAAAGTTAGTTGTGGATATTGAAATAGTTAACTATGATGAATACTATATACTGGTGTTAATACTTGGACCTTAGCTTGAACATTGCATCATGCTGATAAAAATTATTTCATTAATTACATTATTGAAATAAGGGGTCGTATGGAAGTTTTGATTGTTTTTTTAGATTGTTAAAATAAATACATTTTTTTATAATACAATACATATGTTTTTATTTTTGTTCATACACAATCGTGAATTATTTGCTTGATTAAACAATTTCGAATTTTAGCATAGACTGTCGAGATAATTGGTATCGGTGTTTATCATTTTTTATTTATCTTGAAATGTATGGTACCAATGTCCTTATATTTTCATTGAACACTTCATCAACACTTCAATTCAATGCGCAATATTCTCCTCTCTCGTTCAACGAGGATGAACCCTATCGGGAAACGACATAATAGAAAGCATAAAGCACAGTTTGCAATTCTGAAACGATACCGTTTCCTCCTTCTTAAAGCCTCGACCAATACGGTGGGCGGTAGCTGCTGCATCGCCGAAACCTGGATCCACTCTGTTAACACCTAAGATTAATTTGGCCGAACTTCAATGCCGCATTAATTAGTCTCGACATTTAAGTCGTTACCGCGGGTAAAAACGGTGTCGTTGGGAGTCGAGCGGTGTCGCGGAGAACTAAAACAGTACCACAAGGAATCTCAACGGTACCGCGGTACTGGAACGACACCGCTTACCGGGAAAAAGGGCCGCGCGTGGGTATTGGAGAAGGAGGTTTCTCTAATTAATTATTATTTTTATTCCTTGTTGGATGGGAAGAAGCGGCACCGCGGAGAGTTAAAACGGTGCCGCGGATTTAAAAACGATGCCGCAAGAATTAAGACGGCACCGCGGAGAGTTAAAACGGTGTCGTAGTATTAAAGGCGGTACCGCGAGAAGGCACAACGGTACCGCTATACTAGCGAACGACAATGGTTAAAATAAGAAACAATGTCGCAAAAGGGAAAACAAACGAGTTGTTGTGGCGCTAGTGATGTCGTTGGCCATAGCTAGTGATGGACGGATTAATTAATTAATATTTTAATGGCTCTTTAGGACGGTGTCGTTTAGTTGAAAACGGTGTCGCAAGAAGAAAAAAACGATACCGCGAGTAGGCCAAACGATGCCGCAACAGTTAAAACGACATTGCTAAAATTAAAACAGTGTCGCGAAGCTCAAAAGTTCAACGACATCACGAGACAAGGAAACGATGTTGTTTAACTGAGAACGATGCCGAGGGGTGAGAGTTTGACGGCGAGTTAACAATGAGGGCTGGTTTAATTAATTAGTATTTTATTATTATTTTAGACGGTGTCTTTTAATGAAAAGCGATGTCGCGGAAAAGTAAAACGACAATGTGGTAGTGGTAAGAGTCGGCCAAAGGCAGCCTGCCAAGCCAACGATGGCGCACGAGTAGAGAGCGACGTTGTTTGATAGACTAACAATGTCGTTGGTTAAACCGGGTCGGGGCAGTTGAGTTGGATTATAAAACGACATCGGTTGGTGAAAGGCGATGCCGTGGTGTTGGTGAAACGGCATCGTTACATGGACAAGGTTGTAGGTCGTTTCGCCGAGTTTCTGCAAAGCAAGAGCGGTTCGAGGGCACGTGATTATCACGCAACAAGGAGGAAGTTACCTGCACGGTTGACAGGAGTGAAGACGTGGGAGACAAAGGCGCGCAGACAGTTACTACGATGAGGAGAAGCTCGAAGTATAAAGATTGAGAAGAGAGAGAAGTTCGAGAGGGAAAAATCAATCACAACTGCACCATCGCAGAATCTATCTTTTCTCTCTAGTTCGTAGAACTTCTCTGTCAAAGACCTCCTTTGCAGAGTCGTAGTAGTTGTAGATCGTAGTCGTAGTTGTGGAGCTCTCCAGAGGAACCTCCATAGGAGTAGAGGTAACGTAACTTAGAACTCTCCTGGTTCGATTTTCTGGTTATTCGCCGAACACCCTCGTTCG